CATGCGTTTGTAAATGTGTACTTGCAAGCATGCATTTGTAAGTGTGTACTTGGCCAAGCATGCGTTTGTAAGTGTGTACTTGCAAGCACGCATTTGTAAGTGTGTACTTAGTAGACAGTTAGGTTTGCAGTGTACATGCTTTTTTCACAATAGTACGAGTGTCAACCTTTGTTTTTCAATTTCCAAATAATCGGTTTCTCCCGATTAATCGTTGATTTTCGATTAATCGAGAACGTTTTCGATTACCGATTACCGAACTGCAGTAAAGAAATACCCCAGGTTACCTGCCGCCATTTTGAATACCCCAGGTCACCTCGCCCAGGCCACCTAACCTAACCCAACCCAACCTAACGCAACGTATTTTTTCCTTCAAGTCAGGACTTGTCTTTTTTCAATGGGGCCTTTTGCTAGGTGAGTTCGCCTGAAGGCGCCTTCACCAGTGGGCATCTTCCCTGCGCTCCACGATTTGAAATTTCGCGCCACGGTCGCGCCGCCAGCCGGCCGTGCCGTGCTGAGCCGCGTCCCGCGCTGTGGTGCCGCCATCTCTCGGAGCGTGTGAGTACTTCGTCGCTGGCTCATTTGCATAAGGGAAGTCGGCGGCAGGTAGAGTCCCCCTCCACTCGCCCTTTATGGCCGTGGCGTGTCGAGGGAATCCCTCGGTGGTAGGAACTCTGTGGTTGTGTATCGCCACTTTTCCTTTTTTTTTTTTTTTTTTTTTGCTTTTTGTATATAAAATTTTTTGTATTTTTTATGGTTTTTTTGAATAAACAAAGGGAGTGCTGTTTCCTAAGCCAAGCGTTTGGAGGCGAAATGGAATTCGAGCCAGAGTGCTAGGCGACGGGCATTCTGGGCCGCGCATGAAAATTTGGGGGGACCGCAGTGCTCCTCTTTGGGGACCCGGCAAACCCAAAACCCATGCCTCACTTGACTTCTCTCTCCTCCCCTCAAGGCCCGCGAAATAAGATGCTCGACTGTCAGTTGTCTGCCTATAACGCCAACACAACAAATCAAAGTATGCACTCGCGGATTTCGTTTTTTTGCAATCTTCGTTTCGTGTGCTTGCACCCTTTGATTTTTGTTTTTTTAAAAGTCGCTCTCTAGTTCAAAAACCATAAATCCCCATTACTTTGAGTTTATAAAACCAGTTTTCATCTTTTTTGGTTGGTACAACCTGATTGCCCCCTCCATTGCCTTTCCCCACGAGAGGGGGCCGAAAGTCGGCGCAAAGTCGGTCCCACGTCGGCCCCAAGTCGGTGGGATGTCGGACTCGTTAACTGAATAAGCCATAGTTCATCTTCATTGTTTTCTTACCCCATGATGTTTGGCTCATAACCCTTCTTTAAAACCACTAAGCATCACCACAGCCAAGAACTGTTCATCCGGGCCCATGCTTCATAGCTGAAAGCCTACTCTGTAAAGAAGATATATGTTCAATTTGTCACTCATTGACTTTTGACTTTGGTCCAGGGAACAATGGAAAAACTTCTTAAAAGAGAGCATCGAAGCACAAGGCCGGATCCAGAATAACTCTTTTCCACCTTCTTCCACAGCTCCTTCGCAGTTTTAAACCATAGGAAAGGTGAGATGCCTCACTTGAAACATTAAGGAAAACTTCGAAAAAGCATCCTTAATTTGGGCCTTTTATGATCAGGAATCCTTAACTTACCCCATAAGGGCATCATAACGTTATCATAAAAGTTAAAGTTATTACCCCTTTAAATTCTAACATCTTTTCAAAAAAATAAGTTATTTTTTATGTCTCGAAATTTTTGGGATATACTTTGCAAGTACTTTCATAAGTCCGTACCCTTAAGGGGGGAGTAGCGTCTTTTGCAGTGTTTTGACGATTTTTGAACCTCCTGTTTTGACGTTAATATAAAGATAAGTATGAATGCCAGAGGCAAAGGCAGGCACCATTTGAAAGATAAAAGTTTTTACAACATTTTCAAAAAAAAAAATTTTTTTTTTAGCATTTAATTAGGATGTTTTGTGTTTTATGCAAAAATGGTCTGCAAAATTTCATGGTTTCATGCGCGCACGATTGCAGCCAAAGTTTTTTAAATTTTTACCAATCGGTAAAATGCATCTGAAAAAGCATGAAATTGCCCATAAAATGACCCTTGGGTTTTAATATTTGGGGCCCGAAAAAATGTGGTTTGTTTCCATCTTAAGTTGAAGATGAGCGTTTCAATAGTTTTTCTCTCCCAATATTGAAACCCAAGGGTCATTTTATGGGCAATTTCATGCTTTTTCAGATGCATTTTACCGATTGGAAAAAGTTAAAAACTTTGGCTGCAATCGTGCGCGCAGTGACACCATGTAATTTGCAGACCATTTTTGCATAGAACACAAAAAATCCTAATTCAATGCTAAAAAAAAATATTTTTTTTTTAAAATGTTTAAAAACTTTTTTCTTTCAAATGGTGCCTGCCGTTTTTCTCTGGCATTCATACTTATCTTTTATTAACGTCTAAACAGGAGGTTCGAAAATCCCCTCA